CAAGGTCACTGTTGCAGCCAACCTTTTTGCTACTCTAGACACTTGCAGTCAGCTGAAGTACTGCCCTGTGCTTCTTGGGGTCTCCAGGGGTTGTGGCTCAATGGCTGGAGTGCAGAAACACCGAGATTTTGTTCTTGTCCAAGTTGAGACCTAGCAATGCTGATTACATTGCTTTAAATGTTGATATACCGCAGACATGGCTTGGGTAGCTCCTCTTTTGTTAAAAAAATATTTTGAGTGGCTGCATGTAAGCACTATTTGATTGCATTTAGTGTCTATCTGCGCGACTGAAACATAGTTTTATCATACTCAGTGGTATTTGTGAATTTTTTCTTTGTCTTGCCAAATTATGTTCACATTGCAGATGTTACATACAGTAAGGAGAAAGCCAATCAAGGAAAATTAGCATAAGCCAAATTATAAAACAAAGCAATATTCTTTCATACGGTACTTAGACAGTCACAGTGCTATAAAGCTACCTCTTGATGGGATTATGGTGATTTTATTACTGCAAAGTAGTGCAATTTATATGTTATGAAAAATATTTCATGCAACCACAGGAGTGTCGTCTTTCTAAGATTTCCACTTGTGGTTTATTGCTCCCCCTGGAATGACCTATACTTCTGTGGTTAGCAAGAACATACACCAGTTCTTCTCAACTTTTACATACTATAAGCCTGTATTTTGGGAGAGGGGGGACAGGGAAGAGAGTGGTCGTTATGTTTCAGGTTGTAATTTGTCTGGGGATTCTGAACTTCGACCTTTAGGATCATTATAAATGTCATTATAAAACAGAAATGTTTTTAAAGTGTAAGTGTGTGTGTGTGTGTGTTTCGGGAGAGGAGACATTCTGAAGTCTAAGTTTTTTGCACACACACAAAACTTTATTCTGTTAATATTTTGACACTTTTTTCTTAGAGTTTTGGTTTTTTTCTTGGAGTTTCACATGTCAGAGGCCACTTTATGTGAAGCAGGCTTCCGGTGTTAAGCACATCCTCCATTGAATGTGTAGCTGTATTTGTTGTTGCTATGAATTACTATTGAAGAGGTGGTGTTTGATACTGTGCTGTAGCTGTGCTGTAATCACAGTTGTACTGAAGATTTCAGGTGAAGCTTTTTAAAGTTCTAGTTAAACTGGTGTGGATTGGAGCATTATTTTTGCCTTTTCCTGCTATATATAGTATTCAGCACTTCTTTTCAGTGGCATTTCAACCATCAGGTGAATAAAAAACATCCAGTGGTTTCAGAATAGTGGAGTTAATAATTAGTTACGGAAAATGTCATAGAAAAACATGAACAACTTCCATCTTCTGGTTTGGAAGGCAGAAGGAGTGGGAGAGGTCAGTCACTTCCTATATGTTTGCAGTTATGTCCCAGCTCTTAAAAGTACACAGCAGGGATGAAGTGGCAGACTGAGAAGGTGGGCACTATAGTGCCAGTTTGAACAGGATTTGGTCTGTGAAAACATTTAAGTGTAAAACTAAAATACGAATCGTCCTGGTGCTGCTTCTGTTTTAGCATGGGGATGTGTGAGTTTTCTACCAGAGAGAAAAACATAAATCCTGAAGGAGACTGTCATATCTTAAGTGAAGAACTCCTTCAAACTTACCTAGAGAAGAAAATGGTGATACTAGGCACATGTTCAGGTGGAAGTTAACATGCCTGTCATGGCTAGTCTGCTGTTTGAACATCACAAACAGTGAAATTAGCTGCCTAAAGCAATCCTCTGTTAAGCGGCACTAGCAGGACATATATAGACCACAGTGCAGGATGGGCATAGAGGTCCTCGCCATACTGAAGGTTGTGCTGTATGGGATGTTGAGTGGTACAAGAAGCATTTTAGTTCACAGAAGGTATATAATACAATTCATCGTAAGGGCAATGTGTCATACTCAGTAACCTTTTATTTTTTATGTGTAGCTCCATTTCTTTTTCTTTGCTGCTTGTGCATACGGGGAAATGTTTTATTGTATATTAAAGAAAAACAGTATCATGATGTAAACACCATTTGTATCATTTGTACTATTCTAAAAATGTCATATCTTCAGGTTACTGTGGCTTGCTTGATCTACTTTTTGTGCATTGCATGATTTTCCCAGTGTTGCATGATTTTTCCAGTGTTCCCTACGCATTTCTGTGTAAAGGAATGCTCTAGATATAGGAAAGACATTGACTTTTTATCCAGAGAGGTTTCAGACTGGGATTGTCTCCATGTTAGCAGTCTGCACACCATGTGGTAACATGGAAAAAACTAGGTGAAATTCATGAAGGAAGACAGAAGGGAAATAGACAGTGGGGTGGGCACAGCAGTGGTTCCTCAGCTACAGTCAATTTCTGTGCCTTAAAATTCTGTTTCTGTCCTTTTTTGCTGGCATGGCTCTTTCTTTGTAAAGCAGAAGGTATTCTAGCTTTCTGTATATAGTCTCAAATTTTGCTCTTAGGATTATTGTAGGATTTTCCTTCCTTTCCCTTTTTTTAGAAGATGACTGCACACTCCATTCAAAGTGGGGAATTCATGCACAGTTGTCTTTTATAGGACTATCAGTAATACCAGTGACCCTTTCCCTTCTGCCATCCTGAAGGATGAAACCTCAGGAAGCTCCTGCTGCTTTAAAAGGGTCCCAAGACAAGGGTAATGCTGTGCTTAGCATGGTGCTAAATGAAATTGAAGGCATTTCATGTATTTTTCTCGAGGTGTAATTGTGTTGACTGGAGTCATTACCACTCTCAGCTGCTGAGCCTTGCCTACTTAGTTTGAGGTTACCACTCCAAAGGCTGCACTGAAAAGGTTATATGAGCTCTCACTAATCTACATTGGGCAAAATCAGTAGGTTTTGCTCATAATATGCTGTTGCTTGTTTAGGCTAACCTTGCTGGCTTTGCGTGAACAGGTGATGAGTTCTCTAGTGACTCCTTTCACCAAGCAAGTTCTGAGGATGGTAATCTTCAGTAGGAAGGGCAGTTCAGTGCAATGTTTTACAATGAGAACTGCAATTTAGAAAATGAATGTATATCCAAGACTTCCTAACATTTGTTGTATCAGACCCATATACCATGGCCTTTGAGTGCAAATGAGAAGTAGTTTGTGTTTGCGTCTCATATACTCTTAGGCTGCTTTATCTTGCTATGGAAATGTGAAAATGTTTTTAAATAGAAGCAGTGCAAGACTGGCTAATTGCAGTGGTGTTAGATACTCTTACAAATAATAATTTGACCCATGACTATTCTTTGTGGGAAGGAGCATGACAGCAGGATGTATAAGAAGGTTTGAAAGTGGGGGAGAACAAGAAATGAAGCACATTAACTGACCAAGGTCAGTGATACACATTTATACATTGAAATGGGTGACATTGGGAAGGTGGAAAGTGAATTAACCTATTATATGGACTCATGCAAATAAGAAACACAGTATGGCATAGACTCTGTTAGTTTCAAATCCATGCATATAATGTAAGGGGAAATCTTGCGTTCACAGAAGGGCAGAATTTGATTATGTCTCTGGGTGTTGTTACAGGTAGTGAACTGTGAAACAAGACTTATCTACCTGTGCCTTACAGGCTTGCTGAAATGACTGTATGTGATTAAAGAAGGTGCTTGTGTACACTTTTTAAGTGTTATGATTTGTTTGAAACATAACCCAAGTGATTCCTTACAAATATGGACAACAGAACATAATCACTTTGTGATGGAAATCACTGAGTTCCAAACATCCTGGTTTTCCTCTTTCCAGTTTTTTTTTTATGGCAGAGCAGGCTAAATGCTGTTGAGGACTTTTCTTTCCAGTACTGTTTTGTGGTATTTTTTCTGTAACTTGAGGGTCTTCCCAGGCACATGAGGTGTTCAACAGATGATGTTTGTTCTACTGCATTTTCCTAAAGCACCCAAATGAGAAAGAATTGTGTGATTGAGAACAATACTGACCTTTTAATGACTGGACTATTGGGAGAATGATATGATAAGCGTAATGGAAGTAGCATGCTTAAACAGTTGAGACTGGTGCAATAGATATTTTAGAATACATTTACAGTTTTGAAATTTTTTGTTGATACTTGAAGTTTAAAGATAAGGCTTGAAGGAAGGATAATCCCAGTCTTCTGTACTGTGGTGCAGAATGCTGGAAAATTTGCACTGTAAAACTATGAAAAGTATTTGAGGCTGCAATATTGTGGTCCTAAATTGTGGTTAGCATGCCAGGCAAGTATGAAACAGATCAATGTGGAGTAAAACAGTGCCTGTTGACAGTCAACAGGCAAGTGGGACAACAGCCAAATGAACGCTTCTGCTTCACCTGAGCATTATACTACCAGCAGCCATTCATTGGATTGGTTGGCAGAGACCTGCTTGAAAATAGGTAATTTACTGTGGCTGGGCAAAGCAGAGAATTTTCTTATGAGAAGTGTGTTGTCAAGGCTGTGTGTGTAGAGGTACAACACTTTTTCAGATCAGCCTGGTGATTTTAAACTTGTTCAGTTCGTTAATTCTGTATTTAATTCTAGCTCATGTAGAGAGTCACATTGGCATCTGTAGTGCATAGTGATGCAGAAACCCTGACCAGCGAAATTTGTTCCCTACATAGCTGGTGAGGTTTCTTTCTTTTTTCATCAAAATACACGTACTTTTATTTTCTTGTAAAATAATTGATAAATTTGTTTTTAAAAATACTTGTACTGTAGAAAAAGCTTGTTCATACTTGTTTACCTCTACGATTGTGTTGGAGTACTTCCAAGCTGCTATACTGGTACAAACAAAAGAATTTTAGGCAGAGCATGGAAAATAATTCCAGATTATTTTCATCAATTTCTTTCATGTTTTATACTTACAATTAACAACTTTACATTGATTATAAATGTTTAAGATAATTGTTCTTTTTAAAATGTCTTTTTAAAATTGTGAATCGGGATTTCAAATATTTTTAACAAGCAATTGGCCTGTGATGCCCTTGGATAAGGAGGAGGTTTCTGCTGTTTCTGTAAACCTGTCTTGCCATCAATCTTTTACAGGTAAATATTACACCTTCCATACATTCCACTGGTGAATTCCCCCAGCTTCTCCATCATGGTGTGAATGTGGGGTCCTTGCCACATAATGAGTCATACTTGTTGGCTCAGCAGAATGGCAGCCCAGCTAATGTGCTAGAAGCATCGATGAGATCCCTTACTCCTCAGATTAATGGGAAGTCCTCTAGTGATGACTTTGAGCAGCTGATCAGAAGTATGTCCCAGGTAAGCATGTCATCTGTTAATCACAAAATGTGGATCACTGATTATCTGGAAGATTAAAATACATGTGTGTTTATTTAAAAGCAGTTGAGTTATTAAGCAAACCAGAGTTCACTTGCTATATGAAACAAAAATAACGTTTTAATTTGAGGAACAACTGGTAAATGAGAGAACAGTTGGAGAAGTAGCCTTGACATTGTCACCACTGAGTTACTGTCCTTAGCTGGGCAGTGTGCCTCTCACAGATCAGCATGCCATTATTTTTCCGTGCTCATTGTAGGACTGCTGCTCTGTGCATGAGGGAGATGCTTTGTCAGAGCATGCTTTTGTATGCATAACTAATGAAAGCTAGTTCTGTGACTTGCTTGGAAATACGATGGAAAATTCCTTTTTGGCCTTGTTACCTGTTGTTCTGTAATCTTGCTGCTTTCCTGTGGTAGGCAGAAATGGTGTACAAGTTCCTTCAGTGGCTGGAGCTGAGAATGGCCAGGCATATATTGTAGCTTTTTTCTAATTAACCTGTAATAGAGCCAGATCAGGGAAGTCTCCTGCTGTTATCTTGGAGCCTTTTGCACGGTCCTACTTTTTCCCTCTGTCTGAAATTTGTCTTCCTTTTCTAGTTCCACTTCAGAGTTGTACCCTCTAAAATTTTATAGACAAATACATCCTAGTTTAGTCACTATTAAGCCTAAACTCTGTATATTTAGCTGCTGTTTCCTGATTTCCTCTTCTGGGCTGTAATAATCTTTATTTGTCAAATCTTTGTCACCTTTCTGTATGATAGAGAGAAATTGGAACCAAACAACTATGTTTCAGTTATTAGCTAGTGTAGCCTTGTCCTGCTGTAGCTGTTGAATTAGAAACTCATTTCCAAGTTGTTTACCACTTTCATTAATGCTACTTTTCAACATTTTTAACATTTGAACCCTTTTTTTTTTCTTCTACTGAACAGGGTCGTCTTGTTGAGACCATTGAGCTCATTAAACCTTTAAGTGGTGGTCTGGGCTTCAGTGTAGTGGGACTCAAGAGTGAAAACAGGGGAGAGCTAGGAATATTTGTGCAAGAAATCCAGGAGGGAAGTGTGGCACATAGGTAAGATTACTACTGGAATATTATACTGTACGAAGTATTAACATGACACTGCAATTTAGTTGTGTTATGCTCTTCTTTTTGTGGTACAAGGGCATATATTCTCTCATATTCTAAGCTATACATCATAGCAGATTTAAAATTACTTACCACTACAATTCATGTAATGTTGGAACAGGGCAGCGTGTGATCTGTTCTGAATTTCTAGAAACTACAGATGTAGTTTCTCTGTGGTTTGTTTTATAATATCTCCTTTCCGACAGAGAAAAAAGGGAGGTTACTGTTATGGTTTTTAAAGCTGAAATACAGATTTTGCCATCCTTGAATGCACTGAAAAACAATTTGGTGAAAAAAAATCGTTTGTAACTAGTGGGGTTGGTTGTTAGGTAGGGTCCCACTGAGCAGCCGTGAAACCCAGCTTTTGAGTCAAGCAAGGCTTGACCTAAAGTTCTTGGACTCTTAAAAAGACATATTCAACTGATGTTACCGGAAACTCAGCAATAATAGTGCCTTGCTGAAAGTATGCTTTAGACTTTAATCCTGATTCCTGATTGTTGAGAGAAATGGGTTTCCGCTGTAAGAACAGCCTGAGGGAGCAAACTCAGTGGTGAATGACACCAGCACTGTTTCACTGCAGACTGGTGGGGGGTATCACTGTGTATGGATTTGCTGATGAGGGTCTTGGCCAGAGCTGCTTCACGGTCGACTCTGTATGTTGTGTGGGGTGGCTGAGTCATCTCAGTACTATTTCTCGCTGTGCTGTAGGG